GGGGGGGGGCGCGGCCAGGCACGCCATAACGCTATCAGCCGCCGAGGCGAGCGCATCGCGGGAGTTGCCGCGTTATTTTCTAAATTATTTCGCGCCGATTTTTAATATCGCATTTTAACTTCGCCACAATTAAGGCAATAATTAACACGATTTGAGATCGCGTACTTATCACGCGAGCAGGTGTTGTGGGCTTTACCGCAGCGGGTAATTACCGCGTTTCATTTATTTAAATTTTACTTTCTTACTTGTTAGATAGAGAAACGTCGCGAATCGAGTTCCTCAATGCCAATCAAATATTATCATCCGTTTATATTATTCGAGTATTATTACTTCTTTATTCGGTTGTCATTTAATTATTTTTATTGCGTATTGGAAAGCAACTCGAGCGTGCCGTTACGATGATTTTCTTACCTCGTTTTGCTGTCGTGTATAATTAATTGATACTACCGAATATTATTATATGGTTGTCGATCAGATATTAATATCATCCATATTAATCGGGTATTATTACTTCTTTATTCAGTCATGATTTAATTATTTCTTATTGCGCATTGGAAAGGAACTCGAGCGTGCCGTTACGACAATTTCTTTTCCTCATTTTGCTGTCGCATGTAACTAATTGATACTAAATTAAATTAAATTTCTGTCACAGAGATCCAATAGAGCAGATACAGACACGCGGCTCTAAGAGATGCGATGCCTGGGGGATACCGCGCTGAAGGATTCGGCTCGGGCCTGTCTAAGTCTCGAAGGTGAGTTTCACTAATTTGTACTTATAATTAGAAATTCGACAAAACTGAAAATTTTCTTGTTTGGAATCGAGTTCTTTAATGTCTCCATCGTCGTGTAACTAATTAATACTCAATTAAATATGTTTTTTGTTGCAGAGACGAGCACTCGACTCTAAGAGGATGCTGCGCCGGAGGTTTCGGTTCGAGCCTGGCAGAGTTGGCGCGAAAGTGAGTTTCACTAATTTGAATTCATAATTCCGATAAATCCGATTAAACTGAAAATTCTCTTGTTTGAAATCGAGTTCCTTAATGCTTCCATTGGTGTGTGTAATACTAAATTAAATCTGCTTTCTGTTGCAGAGACCAAACAGACGACCAGCCGACTCTTAGGGGCTGCTGCGCCGGAGGATCTGGCTCGAGCCGAGCGGGGTTAGTTCGAAGGTGAGTTTCATTAATTAACATTTGTAATTAGAAATCCGACAAGACTGATAATTCTCTTGCTCGAAATTGAATAATTTGAATTGAATCAAAGATCGCGTTAAATCGTAATTACATGTGGGGAGAATTTTTTCTGAGTAACATCACCACTTGAAAAATTTTGATTTGTTCTGATTAAGAGATTTATTTGCAACGTCTAGAAAAAGGTAAGTGGAATATTCCAAGTGTGAATGCATTCCGAAAAATTCTTCCAACGTGAAAAATATCGCGTTTATTTTTTTTTAATCCTTCAAATATCTTCACTCAAATCGTCATCAATGCACGTACTTAATCGGTGACATGGTATTTTTCTGCTCCAGAAATGAAAGCAGAATGTGGCTACCCTGATCGGCGGTTTGGTGAGTCAAAACAAGAAACATATTGATAATAGAAAGACAAAAAGTCTTTCAATGTAGTGCATGCTTATCGAATCAATGCGATTTACTTTGCTGTAGTTGTAGTATATGTACGTGCTGTCCAATAAAAATCGCACTGTTCGAAACAATTGGAAGATCTTTTTTTCAAATAATATTAATGATAATGCATATTTTACATAAATTTGGCAAATAAATTCTCAAGTATTTTTCTCCCAATATATATATTTAGAAATTGATTAACTTAGATTACTGATAGGTCGTCGATTTTTTCGGAAGAAATTTTGATTAATCAAACCTCAACACTATCTGGTAGATGCTTAAGGTATTGAGTATACGTTCTGAACATTCAAAATTTTGTAAAATTATTCAGTTTTATTGAATGCGATCTTCGAGATGTCTCGAGCAGTGCATCAACGCGCAAAGAAATTGTGCCAACGCGCAAAGGGATTGCGCCACAGAGATTGTGTCATAGAAAATGCGCAATCGCATCACCTGCGTCATAGATCTTCCGCCAGTTGTTAATTTTCTCAATTTTCTCTCTCGCGTCAGTTTGAATCGCGATTGCATTTTATAAAGTAGAGTTTGTGCTTTGTTATTAAATAAAATTCGATATCGTGTGGCATCTGCGCGAAGCGATCTAACGTGATTATATAAACTGCTCACAAAATTTGTTTCACGATCGTCGGAAAATTTTCAGGTTTCAATTTTTCACTTAGAGTTAGAGTTTCCTAACGCAGGACACAATGGAGACAATGCTAGCGAACATTGATCCCTCGTGAAAAACGCGATGTACACAAGTCAGATATGCGAACAGTTGTTTGTTTATTTACACGGCGCGCGACAAGTCCATCCAGCAAAGACAGACGTCTTACTAAGTATGATTTTTCATTCACACTCGCGTTCGCGATTATTAATTTGATAGGTTTGCATATTTCACCAGATCGCAAAAGTATTGCGGAGCTGTTATCCACAAAAATATTGCGGAATTATCTTCGCAAAAGTATTGCGGAGTTATTATCCGCAAAAACATTGCGGAATTGTCTTCGCAAAAGTATTGCGGAGTTGTTATCCGTAAAAAACATTACGGAATTGTCTTCGCAAAAGTATTGCGGAGTTATTATCCGCAAAAACATTGCGGAATTGTCTTCGCAAAAGTATTGCGGAGTTGTTATCCGTAAAAAACATTACGGAATTGTCTTCGCAAAAGTATTGCGGAGTTATTATCCGCAAAAGTATTGCGGAGCTGTTATCCGCAAAAATATTGCGGAGCTATATTGCAGTCTACTACGTTACTAATCAAAAAATTACATTAGGGATATTCCGTGTCGTACGTAAGAATTTCGCATACCAGGTGTAGAAGTATGAAACCGGAATTCCCCTATAAATGGTGCCAGCGTTCAGTTTAGTGACCGTAAGACCGCTACTGCCGCGCTATTATATTCTCCTAACAGCTGACGAATATTGTCAACAAACATAACCCCAACTTTCATTCTCTAGTATATTTTTGTATAACCTTAAACATGTCACGTTTCGAGCCTACTAACTATGATTTGCGGACAGCATTGATTTTCTGTTATCATTTAAAGAAAACTGCTGCAGAATCACATCGAATGCTTGTCGAAGCTTACGGTGAATATGCTCTTGGTAAATCTCAGTGTTTCGAGTGGTTTAAAAAATTCAAAAGTGGTGATTTTGACGTGAGGAACGAAGAACTATGAACTATGAACTATGAACTATGAACTGCTGAAACCTGGTCAAACCGTCAATACTAATCGCTACCAACAACAAATGATCGATTTAAATCGAACATTGACTAAAAAACGACCAGAATATGCAAAAAGGCAACACAATGTCATTTTGCTCCATGATAATGCCCCATCACATACAGCAAAACGGGTCAAGGAAACGATCGAGTCGTTCAGTTGGGAATTACTACCGCATGCGGCTTATTCTCCAGACTTGGCTCCGTCCGATTATCACCTGTTCGCATCGCTAGGACACGCTCTCGCTAACCAACGCTTCGATTCGTATGAAAATGTGGAAAAATGGCTAGATAACTGGTTCGCTTCAAAAGATGAAAAGTTTTTTTGGCACGGCATTCATAAACTGCCAGAGAGTGGGAAAAATGTGTTCAAAACAGTGGAAATTATTTTGAATAAAGTATTATTTATCACTTTCGAACAACAGACGTCTTATTTGTATAAAAAAATTCCGGTTTCATACTTCTATACCTGGTAGATTACTTCACCCATGCGTCGAAAGATTTCGCGAGATCGACCTTCGCGTCACGTGTTCCCTTTGCTCGCGGATTCCGTTTTCTTCGTAAGCGATTCGCGTTAAAGCGTCATATCAAGGCGATACACTACAACTCGATCGGACCGTTGCTGAATTACACATACTCGTCGTTTATCCGAAAGGCCGACATAGCCTCCAAGATGCAATTCGCGATATTTCAAACGCAATTCGCAACTCGGAGTGTATCCCCCAAGAGAGACGGGATTTTTCGTGAAACATCCGTTAGATTACCGTGGTCGGGAGTGAATTACAGGCGACGTGGGATGCGAGGACCATTGCAGTGTCAGATGCAGTGACAGGATGGCTGGTGGACCCTGGACACCGTGGGACGACGCGCAATGGTGAGCGCTCAATTTAGACGCTCATATAGTAGATACAAAGCGTCACTTTACGTAGATTGCATGCACGTAGATGTAAATCGCATTGGGTCCGAAGGGAAGTAAAGTAAGAATTGGAATTTGCAATTCACCGGAGTTACGTAAGAATGATTCAACCAAAGAATTTAGCTCTGAGATTTTCGCAATAGTTCAACGAGTCAAGCATTTCCATCTCTTTAAGAGTACTGACTAGCTTAATCTTTAGAAAAATGTGCAAAAAGACGTGACTGGTAAAAAATTAAAGACTTTCTTAATTTCAAGCATCTGTAAGGTTTGAATTTTTTTGTTTGGATTAAAAAGATATGAATAGAATATCTATTGATAAAAGCTTATAATTTTCTGAATTGGATCATTTTTGCATAACAATGGCCAATTGAAATTTCGACTCGGCAGACTTCCTTCTCGTCGGATGTCTTATTTCTTGATGATACGTTAAACTGATATATTACAATATGTCATATTTATATGCTCTGTATATGTTATATATGCTTTTTTATGCTCTATATATGTTTTATATATACTCAATTTATGCATTATATATATTATTTGATTAATATACTTGATAACTTGTTATGTCGTATTATATACGACATGTTTTTAATTTTGTCGAATCAGCACGAGACAATAGTTTTGCAAAAGTATTCGATATCACGTCAACATTTCCCAACAAATTTTACTTTGTGTCAACTTGACCAAATTAAAAATGCTTTTGTATAGTAAAAGTACAGGCATAAATGAAATAGGAAATTCCTGCCTCAAAGATGAAAACTATGTGGAACTATTGCTATCGTGACACTGATTTCATTTTTCAAGAATTACAGCCCACTGACTGCTCCAATTTATATGATAAAATTACGTGCGAAAATAAAGTGTAACATTGGTCAATGCGAAGTGAAAATGATCTCAAATTACCGTTGCTAATTATATTGAAAACTCAAATAATAGGTGACGTATTTTTCAAAAAATTATTCGCAAACTACGTTTGCGCCTACTCTTCTCTAAAAACTCTTTCTTTGATGCACCCAGTACACAAGCGGTTTGAAGAATTCATCAGAAAAGTAGTAAGAGCCTATTTTGGAGAGAATGCGAATATCAGCAACGTAATTCACATTAACGTAACGTCTATGTGTAAAAAAATTGAAATGACAACGTAGCACACACACGTGCATAACATCTGTGAAAAGATGATAGCGGTATCATGTTAACACCTATTTAATGATCGTCTTTATTCCATAAGTATCTGTGTACATAAATTCGATATCGTCGGTAAATAATGATAACTTTTTCTACTTTTTGATGGTTGCTCTACGTTATCGACGCTTATCAAGTTCGTCGCTCGCTCCGGTATCCTCTTAACCTTTAGACTGCCGGGAAAGCTACTTTTGTGGCTCTGCACAAATCTCAAAATTCTGCGCCATGTGTATGTTACTTAGAAAAATTTTTAAGAAAAAAGAACCACTTTTTTAATGAAAAAATGCCAGCAGCCTAAAGGTTA